CGGATGGGCGGGAATGGAGGGTAAAAACCGTTGGGATATTATTATTAGACAACGAATTCTCCAAAAGGATCCCAGAGAGGAACAAATGGGAAGGGGCCACAGACCTGAACCCAGGGTCTACGGCCATATATACAGATGGTTCCAAGCTAAACAAAAGAGTGGGTAGCGGGATCTACTCTGACGAACTCGCGCTAAACCTCAGTTTTCGCTTACCGGACCATTGTAGTGTTTTTCAAGCAGACTTAAACGCCATAATGGAGGCGGCACGGTGGGTTATAACCTCCGCCCCTCCAGGACGGCCTATTGCTATCTATTCTGACAGCCAGGCTGCTATCAAATCTCTCAATTCTAACGGAACAACGTCCAAAGTAGCCATAGAATGCAGGAAGATTCTCAACCTGCTGGCATCAAAATGCTCCTTGACTGTTGTATGGGTCCCTGGACATAGGGACATTCCTGGCAACTGCCTAGGCGACGAGCTGGCAAGGAGAGGGACGGAAATATCTGAAGTCAATTCTGCTCAGAATGCGGGTATACCTCTAACCTCCTGAAAACACGTACTAAAGGCGGAAGTCGTCGAGGAGGTAAATTTCAGGTGGGCTGTGGAAACCAGCTGCCATACTACCAGGCAAATTTGGCCAAAGATTGATGTAAAGCGATCCATAGCTCTTACCCGGCTGGACCGCTCCTCTCTCAGATTAGTAGTCGGGGTTATCACCGGACACTGCTTGATGGGCACACACGGAAAAAGGCTAGGATACCCCACCAATGATTTTTGTCGCAGTTGCAGAGACGAGGAAGAGGTGGAGACCGTTGAACACTATCTCTGCCATTGTCCCGCCCTGGCCAACACGCGCAACCGATTCTTCAACAAGTGCTTTCTAGATTGTTTTGCCGATTTGAACTCGGCGAACGTCCTCGACTTTTTGTGCTATATAAAACGCACTCGGTGGTTCAATTACTAAGGAAGGGAAAGAAACAAATGGCTTCGGCCAATGGTATCACAACGGGCTTTTCCAGCACACGTGTGCTCCGCGCTCTGCGCGGGGCTGCCACTCCAACCTAACCTAACTTAACCTAAGGCTGTAATATGTAAATACATATTACATAGTAGATGCATATGTATGAATGTTAATATCTTCGTAAACATTACCAGACTCTAAATTACGTTTTTAAATAAGTACATAGGTACACAGTTTCCAACTTTTTTGTAAGAATCAATGAAATACCTAATCAGCGTGAACAACCACATTGTATATGTTTTAAGATTAAGATTAAACAACTAAAAATTGGTCTTATTGAACTACATCGTCGCTCAGCGCAAAATTCCTCGTATACGCCAAACGTAGTACCGCGTATACGATGGTAAATAAATTTTACAAAAGCGCAAAAAAACGATTTTTTCAAAACTGTGGAATGGTATTTTCACTGAACCTACTTGCTATAAGATTATTATTATTAATCTTAACTTAAATTAATAAAGTAAGCAGTCATGGAAAAAGAACAACATATTGTACATACATGACGTGGTACATACATGAGAGGTATTTATATATGTACTATCTAAGTATGTATTCATTTGAAGTAGTCTTTAGCCGACCATGTATATTATGTATTCTGTATATTATAAAACAAATAATACATATGTAAGTAATATTAATACATGCATTCCAAATATTCGTACTTGGTTTCACTGCTGCTGCTACTCTCCTCAACCTCGACAGGTGTAGCTGGCCTATGTCAATTAAAAGCTACAGTATATATTGAAAAATAACCAAAACGGAAAAGATCTTAACAACTTCACAGGCAAGAAAGAAATAACCAAAATTGGTTAAAAGTAATCAAAACGGCAACACTGACTGATATACAGTAATAAACCTTTTTGAGTACTCCTCGGGGGTAAAATCTAATCAGGGTTGAAAATGAGAAGGAGCATGCATTTTGTTGATTCAGAGTTGTATACAAAATTACATGTGGTACTATGTCAGAGTGGCGCAAGTCATGAATGTGTAATAGTGCCCGAAACTAATTGCAAAAGTGTAAAAACATTGCAAATTATTGTCTATTATTATAGATACTAGTACAGATAGTTCTTAGTTCATAGTTCAGTGTATAATAATTAATATATCACCGTACATGATAATGAACGGTTAAATGCTGAATACGCTTGTAACTTGTAGATCACTCAAACTTGGATGTGCTTAATGGACTGTCTGGGCGGATACGCTGGCAGGCATTGGGGCCTGTATAGCTATACAAACCAAGTTTTTTTTTTTAAATAAAGATTTAAATATATATAAATTTAGAATTTGGCTTGATAAATTCACAAAATTTACGCTTTTCATAAAAATATAATCTTACAATGGACTTTTTTTATTTTAAACTTACATTTAAGAAAACTCCATTCAATGCTATAATTACGATTTGAGTTTTCCAGTTTATAAAACACAGGCGTTAATTACGTACTTAACTATCGATATTATTCTTCATTAAGCATGAATATCAGCATAAATTAAAGATGAATATTATACCTACTTCACCTACATTTTGTTCATAAATAACACATAATTATGGATACTAGAGTGCCAGTTACTGTCGAAATTCGACAGTTTTTCTAGTTTTAGAAGCCTTGGAGGGGTTCTCTAACTTAACACGTAGCAAAACTTATACGGTACAAATTAACTAACCGGAAAATCTTCTGCTAAAACGTAACTAAACTTTTTTGATGTGTATACATCTTTGGTATCGGTAGGGGTAAAATTTGCGAAGCTGTAACGCATATCCCCGCACAAAATTTCGAAGGGCTTAGCATGCGTATTTCAGCATAAAATTTTTATTTTCATTAGAAGCACCCTGTGTTCGCTTGCCAAATGGTTGCATACATTTAGGCATATGCATAGTAATAGGAAATGCGCTACAATTGATTATTAGCCGTCATCGATTCGCCATCAGTTAGCAAGTGGCGAAACGAACGAACTCAATGAGGTACAACCAAACTTGCTATCGTCTATCCGTACTAGCTAACTTTGTTGTTGCTTTCACATGCAAAATTTTTCGTTAAGCGACCGGAACTCAAACATAGCGAGCGAGAAGTGGCGAATCGACGACGGCATGGCATCCTATGACACCCACAATGCACAAGATACTAATTCCTTATTAACAATAGGACAATTATCGGGGAGGCTCAAGACGCCCACAACAAACACTACCGAGAAAATTATTCCCGGAAGTTTTCTCGTGAAGTATATAACCGTGACATATATAACCGGCTGTTGATGAGCTCGGACTCGTTTTTAAGCAGTATTTCGGTTCATGACCAAAAAAAGAAAAAATATCAAATCGTTTTCCCCAGACACAATAAAGGTGCTGTTACCCTCCAAATCCGTTGTCAAAGATGTGACAAAGGAATAGTTTGAGGCCAGCGAAGATTCTGAAAGCGAAAACTAATTAACCAATGATAGTGTACACACATTTTATAAATAAAGGTAGTCAATATATTTAAATAGTAAATTATTGGCATATATATATATTTTATTAATATAACCTATCTGTAATACAAATTATTTAAATTTTACATTTGATAAACAATTTTGAGTAGATAGAGGCAATAAAATATTGTTTGCCGCATAAAACTTGAAAATCTACCTATATGCGGTGTTTCCAAGATATTTTAACGCCCTAGAGTCACAAGTATATACAAGTATATTTTATCAATCATACCGATAATGTCATGTATTAAAAGAATTAAAAATGAAAATGAATAAATATAAATTAAGTCAGCAAAATGAATAAAATTAAGTGAAATTAATGTTTAATTTCTAACCTAACCCACATTTGTATGTGTGTAACTGAATCGCCTTTATATATAAAAATATTATCCTAATTTTCGAGCTTGACTTCCTAATCTGTTATTAGAAAAAGAGATTAGCCATGCAAAATGATAATTAAATATATCTCAGATTAAACCGATAACTTTTTGGTGTCCAACCCAGTTTTATTGATTATACTTGCTGTTAAGAGGAGGAATGTCAAATGTTAAAGTAAACAAAAATTGACGCTAGTAAGGAAAATAGGTTTGTAAAGGTATTTTTAATAAAATATTCAGTAAAAATATATTTAAATGGCCTAATATGTGTTGCAAAAAAAAGTGACCACGGTAGCACAGAGAAGAAGTTTAACTTTTCCTCGAGTTGCGTGAATAACAAGCACAACCAATTTGACAGCTAACGAGTTTTGATTGAGATTATATTTATATGTAAACGTACTTTTATGCTTTGCCGTTCGCATATGTATACACATCAAATTTCATGAGTACCTAGTACTCACGCCTTTTTTTTATCTGAGAAGGTCTTTGGAGGACTTCGGCAGGACTTGGAATTGATCCGATACATTCAAGTTTATCGATAATTTTAATGATTTGATACATATCGATAGTTCGATGAATGTCAATAACACAAAAATTCGATAACTCAACAAAATTCGTTAACTCGACCAATTTAGATAACTGTGAAATTCGATGGCTCGATAAATTTCGGTAACTCAAAGATGTAAAAACTTTGGATAACTTTATAAATTTTTACTTTTGACATCTCCACATTTTTCGAACACTATCTAAACATTTCGATAACTCGTTACACTCTGTTAAGACGATTAAATTCGATAAGCAGTGATAAATCGATGAGCTTATATAACCTGGAAATTTCGATAAATCGATATATTTTGAAAGTTCCATAAACTTCGCTTCGTTGAACCAACCAATTTCAGTAGATCAATAATTATCGATAACTCCGTAAGTTGAAAGAACTCCATGCATTACGACAACTCGACATATTTCGTTAAGTCTATAAATAATGATAATTCAATAAATATCGATAACTTGATACATTTATTTAACTTGAAAAATTTCGTTAATCCCACACGTTTTTATAGCTCGATAACTATCCGTAAATTTGGACAACTAAGTTTCTGTGTCTATAAATTTCGACAACTAAGTAAACATTGATCAGTTTGAATAATTCGATAGGTTGCGATAACTTAATCAGCATGGATAAATTTCGATAATTATAAACTTCGATGATTCGATAAATTTCAGTAACGTTTATGCCTGATTTTATTTCAACTCTGTTAACCTAATTCTTATGTATTTTTCATTATCTCAATTTTCGCCTTTATTTCAATTTTCGTCTTTATCTTCACTTTTGCCTTTTTTGTCTTCATCGTTATCACTTGTTTCTTCATCTTCATATTTATCTTTATTTCAAAGTTTAATTTCAAATCCGAAGTAAAACAAAATGCGAAACAGCTTAAATTAAACAGGTTGCAAAAACAACCAACACAAATATAGAAATTTTTAAACGATGATTTTCAACCAATTTCGAAACTATAAAAACTCTCCTCATCTACAGAAAATTACCTTTCCAACGTTGTTATTGGTTTTGAAATCGGTAACTTTACGTTGGTCTTCATCTTTGTTTTTATCTTTCACATCTTTGCTTATGTCCTTTTCTTTTTATTTTCACGTAGATGGGAAGAGGTGCGATGACGTGATAAGATGTGACGTGATTTTATGTGATGAGATAGGATGTCATGTCATGTGCTGTCATATCCTGCGATGCCATGCCATATGATGTCGTACCATATGATGTCATATCATGTGATGCCACGTCATGTAATGCCATGTCATGTCATACGATGTCATGTCATACGGTGTCATATCATGTGATGTCAAGTCATGTGATGTCATGCCATACAATGTGATGTCATATCATATAATGTCATGTCACGTGATATCGTGTGATGTGATATCATATTATGTGATGTAATATCATGTGATGTCTCTTTATATCATGTGATAAAATGTGATGTGGATGTGATGTCATGTAATGTGATCACATTCCATGTTCCGATTAGTGTATCGATAACTCTGTTGATAACTGTGTCTATAAAAATACCGATAACAATATCCATAAACATATAGAAAAATACAACGATTGTAAAATCGATTAATTCATCGACAAATATAACAATCATCAGTAGCGATTATTGTACCTATCGTTAACATATAAATGACTAAATCGATAACAAAATCAATTGTTTAATGGATTATTATACCGATAACAATATCCCTTATTGTATCGATAACAATATCGATTATTATATTGATTATTATATCGATTACAATAGCGGTTATTTAATCAATAACAGTATCGATAACAATATCGATTATTTTATCGATAGAAATATCGATTATCATATCGATAAAAATATCGAGTTTTATATCGATAACAATATCGATCTTCATCCTCATTCTTTTCTTCACATTTATCTTTATTTTTGCATATTCCTCTTCACCTTTACCTTAAAGTGTTTTAATTTACTGTGATCTTCGGTTTTGCCTGTACCTCTAGGCATCTTTGTTTTTGTTTTTATTCTCAAACCGCTAAACCGCTGAGAACCATTTCCATGTGCATTATTCCCCTTGAATTTGACAATTTACTCCCAACCAACCAACTGCCGCTAAAGAAGATTCACTTCATAAATTCAAGAAATGTTCTTACCCTTTCAGTTACCCTAATTCTTATGTATCTGCCATTGTCCCCATTTTCGTCTTTACCTTCACTTTTGCCTTTTTTTTACTTCATCGTTATCATTTATTTCTTCATCCTCATATTTATCTTTATTTCAAAGCTTAATTTCAAATCTGTAGTGCAACAACAGGCGAAACATGTCAAATCAAATTGAACATGTGGCAGCAACATTTATACACAATTCGAAAATGTTTAAACGACGGTTTTGGCCGTAATTTTCAACCAATTGTGAAACCATAAAAACTCTACTCATCTACGGAAAAATGCCTTTCCAACGGTGAGGTGAAATCGGTTCGGTAGAATCGCCAAACGAACGGAGACAAAATTTATGTTAGCGTATTAATATATAGATTTTATCCTCGAAATGAACTTTTTCTAATCATGACGCGAAATTCCCCACAGTAAGTGTTGCCGTGCGTGCAAAACGAAAGCGCTGCACACAACCCAAAAGTACTCCTCGGGGATCAAATGGTGAAAAACTGCGAAAAGGTTTATTATTGTATATAATGTGGTGGCTATGAATATAATCTATTCCATGTGAAGGCAATTTTGTTAATTGCATAAGATTTGCACCGTTAATTTAATTTTCAAAAATTAGGTGTCAAATGAAAGGGCTTGGCCTCTAGATATGAAATAAGTTTTTATTTTGTGAATAGGATTGCCATTCTTTTAAAATTATAAAATCTGCACGGTTCGTTGGATTAAATAAAATAAGGCGTCAAATGAAAGGGCTGGGCCTGAAGACGTACAATAAGGATTAATTTTTGGAATAGAGTTTCCGCTTGTCTACAAAAGTATAATATTTTCATCCTTCACATGATTTTCAATAATGGGGTGTCAAACGAAAGGGCTTGGCCTCTAGATATGAAATAAGTTTTTATTTTTTTAATAGGGTTTCGCGAAATCAGCTGTTGCCGCTAATTTGACGACGTCTAGATTGGTGTGTTTAATAAAACATATGTAAAAGGTACGTTCTAAAATTTTTTCGTATGGAAAAAAATGCAGAGCACCGCTAGCAAAATAAAATATCAAAAATCAAAGGATTTTTCAGCAACATTAAACTTGCACTTCATTGTACTGGAGTTTAATGGGCTACAAAACCACATACATATTTTTTTAATAATTTTCCAATAGGGCGTAAAACAAATATAGAAAACTGGACGTTGAAACGTGATAATTCTATTTTTTTAATCTTACAGGATCTGAATATGCCTTGAATTTAAAGGAATTGGATAATTAAAGTTTGAAATTTAATACGTGTACATCGTTTATTAAAAATATAAATATCGTATATGTATGTGCATATTTAAATATTTCTTTATTAATCATCATGATAATATCATAATAAAATCAGTCTTGAGAATAAATATGTACAAAATGTGCACATAGTGATTTTTTTTAAATATTAACAAACTTTTTCATGTTAAATGATTTTTGGAAACTTTTTATTTAAAGCTGCGAATTCAGCAAAATTCAAAGTTATGTTGTTTGCTACTGTATTTATTTATTTAAAAAAAAATAAAATTATTTTTAATAGTTCCATCTACTACATAACAATAGAAACCACATGAATATAAGTTTTAAGGCTTGCACAAAAATCAATCAAATTTAAAAAATTTTCTCCAAGATTTGGAACTTTTAAATCAGAATCTTTATAAGATATTCGGGTATGCAATTTTATAGCCAATTCAGTTTTAGTCTGATAAGGTCCAAGTTTCAAGTCGCTAAAAGTTACCGTTGATTTTTTAGAATGTTTTTGTGGAGCGTGTTATGCATTTTCTTCCATACAAAATGCTTGTGAACTTTTTGCTCACACGAGCGCCTTGGCTTATGCAACGGATTTGTTGCCGACAGCGTTTTTAAAAACGAAGTAAATCAGTACAAATTGTTAGT